CTCTCTCTCTCTCTCTCTCTCTCTCTCTCTCTCTCTCTCTCTCTCTCTCTCTCTCTCTCTCTCTCTCTCTCCCCTCTTTCTCATACATATAACATTTCTACATTCCACAGATTATATGGACAAAAAATATCACATTTTATGATACAAAAGAATTTTAAGGCTAAACTGAAGATTCCAAAACTTCAACTATAACATTCAGTCAAAAGAATCTTAATGTACCATGTCACGATAGGCAGTGAGGGTTGTGTCTAATACGAGCTTCATTCAGGCTGAAATTTTCGAAACGTGTGTAAACCTTGATGGCAACAGGAATCAGGTAGATATGGAGGCTGCGGGAAAGAAAGGACGGGACGGCATTCCTAAACCGTGAATCCTCCGTCGCGTCTCCTTTCATCGTCTCTCTTCTCCTCTTCATCTCTTTTTCGTCCAGCATCATCGAATCACCTTGTCCCCATCGTCGGATGCTCGTAGCAAACTCTAAAAATACGCATCGGCTTCTCTCGTGGCGTTTACGCCACGGTTATACACCTCTCGGAGGAGACTCGACCGAACGCACCGTCGAACGGGATTCCAAAAAGTAGAACATCCGGCAACGTGCTCGCTCATCTGTTCTTACGCGATCATCCGTCGTGCTCCGTATATACACGCGCGTACTTCACTTCTCCGCAGGAAAACTTTTGCCGGAAGACACGGAGAAAACGATAATAAGAGACTGCCCTTCCGCGTATTTGCATTCCAAATGACGAATCAAAGGACTACATCGTCCATCCTGTTTGATTATCGAACTCGATTGTTGTTTCTGCTTCTTACAGCTTCACAGACCAGATCAAAATTTAAATAAATTTCTTTATTTATTTTAAAATGGATTGTTTTAATTTCCATATTGATTTTTTTTTTATTTAAAATAAGAGTAATAAATTTTTATTTGAAATACATGTAAGCCCACTGTATTTTAATCTACACGGAGAAAATGATGATAAATCATTTCGTCATAATTTTTATCTTGCAAGACTGGTAAAAATTTTCTGGCTATTTTTGCCGAAACTGATGACAAACATTTTAATTGCCTGAAGATAAAAATACTGGAAGTGTAAGGTAAAAAGTACATTAGTAAAGTAAATTTACATAATGGACGCCCTATATGAATTTGCCAGTTTCCATCAAATTTACTAGAATTCTAGCGCGTATCACTTTACATTTTTCTCCGTGTACATTTTATATAATAACACATTTCGCTTTCCTCCATTTTTCGAAATCAATCACGATGTGGCGATGCGACGTCGATATTATTACGCGATCGTTGGTTGAAATATCATGCGTCTCGTCTCGCTAAGAGAAAATAATATTTCACACACGTTCTTCAAACGAGAAATGCTAATGGACGCTGGAAGAACCGCGTGCGTGCATGGCCGTTTGACCTTTTGAAAGAAAGGAAGGTCGTCATCGAGTCTCTCCCAGCGAATCCAGCGCCAACTGCATCAGCAACATGATTGAGTGATGCTGCGTCTCGTTTCTCTTCCACGCAACTTGCGTGTTCCAACGAAATGCAAAGCACTCTTAATTGCATTCCGCGTAGGATCTTCCTCTTCATCCAGCAGCGAGACGCCAAAAAAAAATAAATGTATTTATAACTCTCGTGGGAAATAGAAAAGGATAGATAAACTTAATTTTGTTTACTTAAAATTACTTGAAATGATGATAAAAATTGAGTATAACTTGATTGAAAAGTGTTCAACTTATGAAAGAGAACACGTTTTACGACTTAGGTTTATGACAGGTTTATGTCATTAAGTAGTAGTCATTGTAAAATGATCGGAATGATCGATAGAAAATACTTTAATCGAATGCTGACACCATTTGATAACAAGTAGAAATCGCCAGTGAACGGTCGTGAGTTGAATGTAAGAAGACACGATCCTGTTTCGAATTATCTAAAGAATATTCTACATAAAGAGTAATTAAGTAAATTAACATAAAGATTAATCATTCTTCATCGCAAACATTATAATAAATCTGATAAATAATAAATAAAACACGTTGTTGTGCGTTAATTTTCGTTATTTCCTTGGGAGATAACTGGAAAATATTATACCTCGGCTCAGATAAAAACTTTCATACCATCTAATTTACGTGTTCTGCCGATCAGAGATACCACGGAATGCAATATCGCTTGTTATACGACAAGACTCTGACTAAGACGAAGTGGTTTACTTTGATCGAACCACTGACACGAATCGAGTTCACGGAAACTTCAGAGAGCATCCTCAGACGATGTACGACATAATAAAAGCAAAATAAAAGCTCTCTCGCCGGAAGCGATCTGGGTGCAAGCTTCTTATGCACGATATCTACGTCGATCAATACGGAAAATCATTCGGATGCGATACCTCAGTCAAAAACGAGCAAACGCATCAAATTATCCTGCGATTAATCAGATTTAAGAAAACAGACTTGGAAATTATGTAAACGTCCCTTACAAAAATTTAATTTAATACCGACCGATGTAATATCTGGAAATTACTTATTTTGAATATATTTAAAAACCGTTGTTTAGCTCTTTCAATACTCGGAATAAGTAATTAAGGATCATCAGGATTAAATTTCTATAGGGGGTAAATTGCGCGCAGCGTCGAAGATGATCGTTAAGCCGCTTTACGGAATAGGCAATCGAACTTTTTTTTCGGCGGAAGTGACAACTAAATTGAGGCAATTGAGCAAATATAGACGTATCGATAAAGCAATTCATCGAGTTTATTGACCCGCCAGCAGAGCGTGAGTTTCACTATTTCGCGAGATCCCTCTCAACCGACCGTCTGTCAACCCCCTGAGGCACCGCGGTGTGCACTAAAAACAATCGAGGCCGTTGTGTCCGTCGCTATCTCAACGCAGGTCACCGATTAACCGCCTTTCCTGTCTTCTGCACACGCTCGCCGGCAGAGGATGGTTAAGATATCCGGTTGCACGGAAGTGCTCGCCGACCTTAATATAAATAAGACTTCCTGCATCCGTACTCGCCGGAGGTTTCTGGCCTCCGCAATCTCATTGACTTGACGACGAATTAGAATTTATAAGAAGATTTACACGCGCAGTCCTCGCGCGCTGTATTTTCGAGAATTTATCAGTGAGTTGCAATCGGTAACATGGCGTCCCAATAAGCCCCTTAATAATATTGCGTGCTCACGACACGTTATTACAACTTTGCGCTCAGACAATCTCTACATCTAGGCAGACAGTTTAATAAGATGTTTCCTTGCGCAGGATGGGAGCTGCGAGGCATACACTGTTATAAATTCTTCAACATCAGGCATTCCTGGGAAAAGGCGGCGGAATTATGCAGGAGGTAAGCCACGCACTATCGATCTTTCCCTTTCATTAGTTCTGCTACCTAGGATTTGACTTTAATAGAGAACGATCGGTATCTCTTTCGCTCGGGGGAAACATAAAGAATACGTAATCTTTATTGTTTTCCCAAGACGAGAGACAAAGGTTTCCGTTCTTCTCGACTGTGCCGCGTGTCGTTGTAAGATAAACCACTGATGGTTTTGACCATGGTCCGTTGCAGATACGGAAGCGAGCTGATGGTGGTGGAGTCGTACAGCGAGAACAACATGTCGGCGAATTTGATCGGCCGGCATTTGGATCATTATTGGCTGGGCCTCGCCTCGCTCGACGATTTACGTACCAACACACTCGAATCCGCCGCGGGAATGCTCGTCTCGCAATACGCCGGTTCGTAAAACGCAATTCCGTTTCACTCGATTTACGGACGAGTCGCCGACGAGTGCATTCTGCGCGAGCAGATCCCGTAACCGAACGCATCTCGTGCTCTCCTCTGTCCCTTCTTTCTTTTTTCCTTATCTGTCCCTCGAGTGCGACTCTCCATTAACGATCGACTGCTTAAGAGACCTTGACCGATATTATACGTAACGTACGATGCGGTTAGCGAACGCTATTCTCGCGGAGAGAAAAATAAAAATTCTGAAGATTTATAAATGCTTAATTCTTAATATTACATTATTGAGTTGAAAACGCGAGTAAATTTTTTTCTTCTCAAAATCTCAATTTTTTTTTTTTAGAATTTTATTTTTAATTATTAATCAATCATAATCGTAAGTGTTGATCGCGATCGTAAAATTTTTATCGATAAAAGTGGAATAAAATAAAATTGCGATGTAAAAAACATGTCCATTTCTGCACATTTCGTAAAATGTAAAAATTATTACAAATTAAAAGAAGCTATGAATTTATTTAAAGATGCAATTTGAAAAATAATAGAAACTTTGTTAGCTCTGTGAAAATTTTGGAACACGTTACCAACGTTATTATGAATTAAGTGGTTGATAATCGTGACGCGGCCGTTTCGCTCAAAGCTCCGACCTCGCATACACCGGGGCCAGTTTCTATCAGGGTCACGGAAACACGGAACTCGCGTATACGGCACGAAGACACACTTTTCCCACAACAATGCTCAGACGTCGTCCTTTCGTGTCCGTTTGTTGCAAGCTGCAATTTCCCCGTCTAGCGCATTTGCACACCGTCCGCACCACTAAACCGCACTATTAATTATGTCTCGAGTTCATAGTTAACTATGTATCGTTAGCAGCAAATGTAATTACTCATGCGAGGGTATGCATGAACTCGACGCAGTACCACGCTTACCACAAATATGCATTATCCGACATATTCATGTTATTAACACGCTATTATTACGCGATTTAATTATTTGCTACATTATTTAATTATTTGCTACATATATATATATATATATATATATATATATATATATATATAATAATTAAGT